TGCAATGATTCTCCCAGCCTTCAGAAGGAGAAGAAAGGATCATCTTCAGATGTTTCAAAGGTTTCCTCCGTCAAAACATATTTCTTCAAGTGTTTTCAGATATACCTCTTCCTATCACCATGTGTCGATTTTCTTAACTGTTAAATCTTTTAATTTTGATACAGAAGAGGAAAGAATCAGAAGAAAGTCCAAGCAACCCGACAGATATTTTGACTAGTTCTTCTGCAGGTGGGTTTTCAATCTTTCTTTGGTTTCCTTTTGTCTGTTGAATATATTCTTAACGGGGTTTCTACAATTTTTATCAGAAAATCCGAAGGAGCCCAAGAAACGAGCTACCAGCAAACAACCCTTCAAATCCGTTCACATAACAGTCATCAAGAAGCAACCTCAACCAACTTCTTTGACGATTCCAGCTCCTGCAAAACCAGAGGAGAAGAAGGACGGTGTGGCTAACACCGGATTAGCGTCTTTATTCCAGAACTATGGCAGTGACGAAGACGAGGATTGATTTTTGTTTTTCTTGTTCTCGACAGGTTTTGTAATTTTCACAAATCTTATCACTGTTACAGAATTGAAATCTTTCAGAAATTTTTTATGGCAGTGGCCATTCTTGTACTGTTCATATATGAAATCTTTCAGAAGATTTGACTTGTACTAAGCATATTTCCAGAAATTTGTTTCATGAAACTGTTTTTGCAGATAAGAGCAAGAGATCTGCAATTGATAGTTACAGCTTCTGATGAAGCCGACTAACTTACAACAAAAAATCTGCAGAAAAATACAGCAAAATGCATCCCAATAAAAACCAGAAAATGGTGAGCAAACCATTTCTTGAATCTCTCACTTCTGCCCTTTCTTCCTCCACAACTCACCAAACATCTTCATCCCAGAACTCTTCCTCTTCCCACTTCCAAATCCATCATCAGAATCATCAGCCATTCCCGGCGGTTCCATGAACCCAACCACCGCCGTCGGGTCAAACAGACCACCTGCAAAACACTTCTCAGCTGACCCAGACCGATCTCGGCCGTTCGTCTCAAACTCTCCAGAAAGAACCGCAGCTGCAGCATCCGCCGCCTTCCTCCACTGCTCGGTTTGAACCCTAAGCTTCTTCATCTCAGTCTCCAAAGCGTCTTTTGCTTCTTCCATGGACTCAAGCTTCTCTTTCAAATGAGCTGTCTTTGCTCTGCTTTCTTCTAGCTCTTCCCCAATCCGACTCACCTTTGAAGCCATCTCATCTTCATTAGCTTTCACATGTGACATCTCTGAAGCCGAATCACTCAACTGATTCTTCAAGCTCTCGTTTTCTTTGCCTAGTGATTCATGTTCTTTCTCCATATCATACAGTTTAGCTTTCAACATCTTGATCTCATCTTCCTTTGCAGTCAATTTCTCAGCTTCTTCATTTTCACTCCTCGGCTCTTCTTCTAGCGCAATCTTCTCAACAGGAACCTCAAACACATCAGTCTCTTTCTGCGCATCACCGGGGATTTCATCTCTATCAATCATATCAGCCTCGGATGCAGATCCCTCCACTCGAGCCACCGGGTTCGGTTTCTTAGATTTGTTATTACTATGAAGCTCATCTTGAGCTTGTTTCTTGACAGCTTCAGCATTAGCCAACTGCTCTTTGAGCAATCTCAGTTCCTCTTGTGCTTGTCCTAACTGCGACTCTAGATCCGATATCCGGCCTCCAAGTTTCTTCTGACCAAGAGGATCACTGTGAGGTCCACCGCTTCTAGGAGATCTACGGTCAACACCGAGCTTAGAAGTCCGGTCAGTAGTGATCAGACGGTTGGGATGATTCGAGTCAGAAGCAGATGATTTGGTTCTCAGCTTTGGAGCTTGCCTCTGAGACAACTCTGAAACTCTAAAGAAGACAAGACCAGAACAATAGAAAACCCTGTCTTAGTCACATCATTGCTCATATTTCAGATCAATAGATTCGAGGTCAAAACGTAGTCATAATCTTTTACCTTGGTCTTGGCATTTTGATGTTTTTGCAGAGGATTTGACAAGCAGGAAGCTCGAAGGTTATGAAAAAACTGAAGCATAAATGAAAGCAAATGTCATTTATTACTGCAACTACCAAAAGCCATTACTCATGTCGGAGAATTCCGAGGAACTTAGATCATAAGGTAGTAGTAATAATCTTCAAACTTTCACCAAAATAAGAAAAACCCAGAAACAAACCAGAATCTCCATTCTCTTTTAAAGATGGGATTTCACTAGTCTATGAGAAGGATCCAACAAAAATACCTTAAAGATGAAGTGTTTGCATTTGAAATCCAGGAGAGTGACTAAAGAGAATCTATCTAATAGTCAAAGTGTGTAAATATGAGAAAGATTTTCTTGGCTGATTGTGAGTTAATAAGAAGAATGGCATAAGAAAACCAAAAAATAAGCAGAAAATA